AACTCATGGTCCTGCACACCCAGTACTCTCAGCTAGTGGATACTAGCGACGAATCCAGGGTCTGAATTCATCTCTTAAGACCAGTAGGGAGTGTGATGAATTGAATGTCAGTAAAAAAATTATAACAAGGATGGGGTCAAGGATAGGTAACCAGGCATAACTCCAAGTCTCCCACTCCCAGACATCGGCGCGTCAAGGTCCTGATTAGACCCTTGTAACTGTAAATCAAGGACGTTTGTGGTTTCTGGGGATAAAAGCTCGAGGAGCACAAAGCTTGGGGCTGTTACAGGAGAAAGCCTGTGGCAGTCACTGGCCAGTTCAATAAATCCTCGCTTGCTGTTTAAGACATAATTGGAGTCGGTGGTCTTATTCTTGCGAATGTTGTCCACAACAGTTCCCACAGGAGAAAGCCCACACCCTCCCTGAGAGGGGAGAAGCTTGAAGGGTACTTGCTTTATTATTCTTTAAAGAAGAGGCGATTTTTGCAATAAGCCAGAGCTAAAGGGTCCCTCCAGTGCTGTTGTCTTCACTCACCTTGTTGGGACAGTAATGGTGTGCTTGGCAGCGCGGGATCATAGGTGGGTGGACCCGGGGGTGGGATGGCTGGCACAGCAAAGCTCTTCAATGGGTGGGAAGGGCGAACGTGGGCGGTAGGAAGACTTTGGCCTGAATCTTCCTCTTGGGAGCTAGCCAAGTAAGAGGAGCTTGTAGCACCTTCAGGATCCTGGTGATCAGTACAGCATGTCTGAGACGAGGAGGCTGGCATGGTGTCAGTGCTGGGGGTATTTCGAATGGATTCTATAGCAGGAAAGTCTAGATGTTAGCATTTTAAAAACCCATTAAACATATGTACATCCCCGAGTTCTGGCTGTTTCTAAGGGCCCCTGAAAGCAGCTCAGTAAGCACTGAGGTCCCTGGATGAGCACCTCTGCCAAGGCTAAGGAAGAATGGACTAATCTAAGAGTTCCAAACAATTCTGTCAACCAGTTACTGGAATTTTTTCAGCTAAACAGGTAAATGTTCATAATTTTACATATTTAAAGTTCTGTTCGGTACTTACTATGGAGCACATAAAAAGGTTTGTGAGCCCTGCAGGTATGGCTCAATGACTGAGCGTTGACCCATGAACCAGGAGGTCATGGTTCGATTCCCGGGTTATGGACTTGATCCCCAGTAGGGGGTGTGCAGGAGGCAGCTGATCGAAGTCTCTCTCTCTCATCATTGATGTTTCTATCCCTCTCTCCTTCTCCCTTCCTCTCTCTGAAACCAAAACATATTTTAAAAAAAGGTTCATGAGAGTACTAGCTATTAAGACATAATTATAAAAGAAAATTTAAAGTTTCATTGATTGATAGTCTCAGTGACTTCCATAGATAACATGTTTAGTCACTAAGGCTGGCTGGGTACTGGACAAGTACCAGCTCTGCCTGCAAGGCCGGGTGGTTACCATAGGAGAGGCAATGCCACAGGCCCTGCCTGCCCTTAGGGGACTAGGCACAGCCTCACCAAAGCAACAGCCCCACAGCTCAAATGAGACCTGGACAACCAACTAGTCCAGAGGTCTACACATAGCTTTAGGATTATGCATATGAAGGGTGATGGGGCGAGAGAAAGAAATAGGGTCAGGTCAGCCTGGAGAAGGGGAAGACTTGGGAAGAACATGGTAACAATCTCAAAATATGTAAAAAAGGGTCATTGTTCTGGAAGGCAGTGTGGTGGGGTGGAAAAAGCACTGGCTTTGGATCAGATAGACCTGGACTCTAATCTTGGCATACTAGCTGGGTGAACTTGGCAGTCACCGAATCTGAGTCTCAGTTTCTTCACCTATAAAACAGGAAGAATAACATAAGATTCACTGGAGATTAATTGAGAAGCCTTATGAAAAGTGCTAAACAGAAGGCTTGAAAAAGGTTCTTTTCTTTGTAAATTGCTGAGTGATTACTCTGAGCCAGGGACTATGAGAAGTGCTTTGCATTTGTTAGCTCATTCAATCCTCAGAGTAACTCAGAAGGCACTGGGAGGTTAGGCCTCGCCCTAGGACAGAGTGAGAACAGGTAAAGCAGGAATCTGAATCCCTGGCTGGACTCACAAGCTCACCTTCTGATCCACCACACACTACTGCCCTTCCATGTCCAATGCCACCCTCCCCTGGCCCTGCAGGAGTAGCAGCAGCACCAAGGCCCAGAGAGACTATATGAGGAGAACAATGGGAGCTGGTGCAAACCACCGTTTGTACCCCAGGGAGGGGCCTGGAGGACACCAGCGCTGGATGCGGCTGCTTCAGGCAGCCTGAAGGAGGTCCTCCCCTGACTCTTAGAGTTCTCACCCTTAAAAAAGAAAATAACCCTTTTAAGCAGCAATGCATGAGCAACCTGCAGAATCCAACCTATTTCCCTGCCGTTGTTGCTGAGGGAGCAATGATTTTGTTCCCTTGGGCTTTCAGGAGACAGGCCATGCCAGTCATGAGTGCTACCCCTTAGCTTAAAGGTCTTGGGTCCCAGGAATGAGGGACTCAACACCCTCCTCAAGTGCTGAAAGCCTGGTCATGACAACCTTACCAGGCTGAGGATTTTACTTTTTGTGCTTGCTTAAGCCAGCCACCCCCACAGCTGGGAGCTGCTGGTCTGCTTGCTAGGTGTGACCTGGGCCTGGAGGGAGCTGGTGAGGGTGGAAGCAGGCACTAGGAAAGAGAGCAGGCTTCAGCCGGGACCATGTCAGCCTGCACTGGCAGATATTTTAGGTCACTCTGGGCACACACACCTGCCTTGGCCACCTCAACTGCCTTAATTTGATAAGCTTCTGAAGGCCAGAGAGGTGGTGGGAAATGTGAAAAGGTAACAGAGGGTTGCCTACACGAGTCTGTGCTGTTCTTCACTGTACAGCTCCAGAGGGCACCAGGCACCCTTTATTCTCCGAGAATACAGTGGGCGCACCCTGAGATTGTGCATATAAAATAAGGAAAACTATGCTGTAACACAAGTTCCTGCTGGCGAGGGGCCGACTCCAGAGTTGTTTAAGACACACAAAGTTCACACTGCCCATCGACTTGGACAAGTGGAAAGTGCTCTTCCTATGTCAAGTAGTGGTGACATAATAAATGTTCCAGGACAAGACACAGCAAGTGCTCACTAGCGGGAGGACTGCCCTGGCCAGGGTCTAGTCATGCCGAGCCCACACACACAGGGCTGGCGGCGGCGCAGTACTGAGTTCCAGAGCTCAGGAAAGCATAGCAGTAAGAGAACTTGATCACTTCTAGATACTTGCTCTACACCAAGCATGTCAAACTCAAAGGCTAACACGGGCCATATAAACAAGGTTTAAGTTTATGTGGGCCGCAAAAAAACAAAAGTTTCAATTTTCATAGAAACGTAGGTTTATTTCGATAGAGACATGCTGAATACAAAGGGCGGAAATAAATGAGTATTCGTTAACATGAAATAATAGAACATTTTAATAAAAATTAATATTTTTTCTTGAACATTAACTTACCAGACTCTGAATAACTGCACAAATTAATAAGCGTAATGCAAATAAATCTATTTTTCTTGTTCTACGAAAGCAAAATATTTCCTGTTGCGCACACCAAACAAGTCAGTACAAGACTAATGGCATGGCAATTGGCTACTAAAATATTTGCTGCTAGTATTAGTGGAGGGAAATGAATGCAACATGATTATAGTAATCGGTCATTAGCGAACGTTGTAGTTCATTATAAATAATTATGTATAGCAGAATATTGTAAAAATTAAGTACGAAATTTTTTCTTACATACCGTTATATTAGCTGGGCCGCAAAAATATTCATTGTGGGCCGTGTGCGGCCCGTGGGCTGCGAGTTTGACATGCTTGCTCTACATCTTCAGTGACTCTACCACTGGTTTCACCTTTATTTATCCCCTCTGGCCACTGAAAAATAACCCTTTCATAATGCAAATCATTACTTTTCCTCTCTTCACTTCTGCCTAAGTCCATAAGAATGGAACTTCCACCAACTGAACCACCACTAGGATGAGGGCTGGGTGGGAACTGCCAGGCTTCTTGCCAATCCCCACCCCCCAACCCCACCACACACAGCCTAGTGTGTGAGATTCATCTGCCTTAACAGGGTCAGGATACAAAATGGCTTTCCAAGAGCAGGTTTAGAGGGTGGCTTTCTGGTTGCTGTTGTATCAGAGGCCACATCTGTGAGGCAGATTTCGGTTCTCCATACAGCCTCCAGTGCACTTTCCCTAAAGGCAGAATCCCAAACTCAGATTTGGGGGAGATAGTAGGAAGGCCAATTTTAGACATGAGTTCCAGCAGCACTCTCCAAGCCAAGAAAAGGTTTGGGAGGAGATAACTTTGGGAGTTACTGGACATCCCTTAATAAAGCCTTGATCTTCATTTGATGTTTTGGGTATGATTATAATTGATCAAAATATAAAGGAGAGGGGATGCTACTGGCAAGCCTAACTTCTAGCATGAAGTTTTGAGGTTCTCTTAAAATGGAATTCACTTGAAATTCTCTTTTTTTCCAGAACCACCAACATTTAGTTCTACTAATAACATCATAACTATTAACAAATAAGTTTCAAACGATATAAAGAGTATGCTTCATATATGAGCCATTACTAGATTTGTACCTTAAAACTGAGGGTGAAAATTAATTTTCAATTAATGATGAATAATCATATCTATTCCATTTACTGTCCCCTCACTTTCACTATTTCCTCCATAAAACTGTTTTGATGATGCTTCTTAAGGTTTCCAAACTGGGAAATGTTTTTCTGGCAATGTGTTTCTTTAAACACACTGCAGACTGTTAGGCTAATTTCCTATCTGTGCAGCCCTTTCTCATTTTAGTAACCCGCTAGGCCACCTGATGGTTACGATATGCACCAGCCCCATGTGGCTGTAGCCTCAGCACCCTCAGATGCTGTTCTTACTCTGCTCCCTGGCAGAAGCATGTAACCTCCTGTGAGTAACACCTACGGCTGCCCTACGAACCCTCCCAAATTAAGGCGACAGAGAGGCAAAGTCGACCTCCAATGTCTGAAAATCATACAGAATGAATCTTCTTTCAAATTGGAGGGTTAAAAAAAATTAACTGAAAATAGAACTCAATTAAAATACAAGTTGTTGGAAGAAGACATGATTACGTAATTAGAGTTATTGTGTTTTTACTAAAATGACTCACACTGAGCACTTAAAACTTTGGGAGAAAAGTTGGGTCAATTTTACAGAAACAAATTTGAGTCAGGAACAGCAATGTTATGATAAATATATAACACTGAGAAAACCTCTAAATCCTTCTAAGCGGGCAAGTCCTTCCCCACTGCAGCTTGCCAACTCATGGAAAGATTTCACCTGGGATGCAGTCCTCGTCTCTCACCTGTGGAACTGGCCCTGTCTGAAAGGGACATGGATGTGCCAATGGGCCATGGGCTGCTTGGGTGGTAGAGATGACTGCGAGCTGGAGAAGCGAGGCTGCTGGAGTGGAAATGATGGTGAGGGTTATCGAGGGAATGGATGGGATGGGCACTAATCATAGCTGTGAATGAACACAAGACAGAGAAATGCTTAACATGCTTGCACAGACACACACAAATCACAGTTCAAGAGCAAAGTCATCCCTTCTCCCTCCCATACAGTGCAACCATTCCCTTGGTTTTTTGGTGGCAGCAGGCTGGATATGGACAATCAGCCATGGATTTTACACTTGTTTTAAAAAAATTCAACACACTCATGTACATACGTTTGTCTGCCTGTCTATCTATCTACACGCAGAAAAAGAAGTCTGAGGAATATATACTAAAATGTTAACGGTGAGCTCTGGCCTGTGTTGCTTAGTGGTTAGAGTGTCAGCCTGTGCACCCAAGGGTTGTGGGTTTGATTCCCATTCAAGGGCATGTACTTGGGTTGTGGGTTCGCTCCTCACACCCGGCTGGGGCAAGTGGGGGAGGCAATCAATCGATGTGTTTCTCTCACATCAATGTTGCACTCTCGCTCTCTTTCTTCTTCCCCCCTTCCACTCTCTCTGAAAAAGCAATGGAAAAAATATCCTCAGGTGAGGATTAACAATGACAACAAAATAATAAAGCAAAGAAATGATGGTTTAGGTTTCTATGCTTTTTTCTCATGCTAGAAAGATGTAAGTCCTTCTCTTTTGCATATATTCCTAATTCATTGCCTTTTCTTACTTGTTGAATGAAGCATGCAATAGGTACTTAGGCTGCATGAATGAGTAGCTGTTTAGTCAGTTTTCATATCTTAAAAGGAATGCGAATGGAACTGATTCTTATGGTCCACTCCAGTACTCAGCCTAGGACACTCTCTTACAACTTCCAGCCTGGAAGCTCAGCCACATCCGTTCACATTTTAAAATATACATGGATCTTTCCTAATTGCCTTTTTCCTTCCCATACTGGCTAAGGAATTCAATTTGCTGCATTTAGCTAACAAATCCAAAGTTCCACACAGATATTTCATATACAACATTCTATGAAGACAAAGTTTTTACTTAATGAGGCTACATTATCAATCCCAGAGGTGGAAATAAACAAAACCAGAAGTCCAGTTTGCAACTAACTTTCCTTAGGTACTCCATAGAGTAGTTGTAGAAACAATGTTTAAGATCAAGATAACCAGCTCAAAAGCCCCAAATAGGCAAATAGGTAGGGGTGACTAGAAACATAGGAGATCTTTTGTTTCCTAAGCAAAGGCTTCATGAACTTTGTGATAAACTCAATTACAGCCTTTGGAGTCTATGAAAATGTCTTCTGTCACCAAGGATCTGTCTGGATCTTTGTGGGGCCACTCAACATTACCCTGGAAGGAAATCCCAGTCAATAAAACAGATGCCTTTCTCCTCCAGCTATCTCCTGTCCTGGCCACCTGCAAACAAGCAGGTGGCACAACTGACCAGCGACCCTGGATTCTTACTGCCCCCCTCAAGGCCTGGGGAACCAGAGGCTCAGGTGGTCCTTTGGAATAAAACACAACTTGGAAAAGCAGGACAGTTTGAGAGTCAGCATCTCCTCTAAGGGAGGGAAGACCAATTCACAAGCGGGAGCTTCAGAATCAGTGTTTCCCCAATCAAGGCTAGGAAGAGGTGAATAAGCCTCCTGATTTTTAGCTATCTGAAAATATTCTGGATAGAGAGGACTCTCACAACAGAAAAACAAAACTGACCTTCTCTTTCTAAAGGCATTTCCAGTCTTTCCAAATGAAGTAAGTAACAAATAAAGTAACTGAAAGTGCCTGCCTACAAGAGGTAGCCATCATTATCTGTTGGCTGAATAAGGACCCAATGCTGCTGGGCAAGGCCTTCCTAGAAGTGCTCGGCCATTTAAAGCCAGAGCAGGTGGCTGGTGGGTGAAGACTCCAGGGCTGTAGCTGTGTAGGGAAAAGGGGATCTCAAAACCTGAAGACCAAAGTATTCTAGGTACCTGGCATCAGATTCTAAAAGATTCCACTCACCCACCCAACTATTTGAGGCACAAATTAAATATTTAAAATTTATGCATACTTTTCCACTACAAAAAGAAAAAAAGGAGAAAAAGGAATGATGTCAACTGGGACAGCATATCTTTTCTCCTTAATGTATTTAAAAGTATCAAATCTACGAATAAGAATAGTAAAACTTCACAAGTTTTAAAAATAAGCCAGTCAGGTAAGACCTAAAGTCTTATACAAAACAAACACATAAGCAGTAAAGCTACCATCTTCTTATAATCAAAAGCAACTGGAATAGATTCATTTATTCTGTTGGGACATTTGCATTTTTAAACCTGGGGCCCTGCTGTAAGAGGGAAACCATGGTTTTCCCCTGCACACTTCTAAGTGCAGGTCCTTCTTTCATCATGGACCGTAAGCAAAAAGTATATTGCGCAGAAATGACCTATTCGTGAACTGGCCTTTACTCTCTCAAAGCTGGTTTTTAGCACCTAGTGCCTAGTGTTTGTGCATAGTGAATGAGTGAGAGAGAGTGTGTGCGCATACAGACATTCACATGTTCTACCAGTTCCCAAGTACAGGGTGCCATGGTGCACCTGTGTGCATGTATGGTATTTGGGATTATTTAAATCTCTGACACCACTGACAAAGAGATGGATGAGAGTTCTAAAATGAGACATCTTTTAAGAAATAAATTAAAAATCAAAAGCTCATTTGGGTCAAAACTGAAAAGTGATCTTTCAGGATTTGACGCTTTCAGTATTTGAATTTAGGTATCTGACGGTGTTGAGGTTTACTAGCCTACTGTCCAGGTTAGAGCAAATACTTCCATATATCAAGTAGTTTGTAAAATTGATACTGATAGGCAGGTAGCTTTTATTCTAGGATGGAACAGGGGGCTCCACTGGAAGCACCACTGTGCCAGCTAGTCTTAAAAGGCTTAGTTTGAAAAACATTGGTTTATCCCATTACTTTTTGGCTTTTAATCATGATATTTAACTTATTTTGAATTTCAAATATTATTATAGGAGGTTGAGGAACTTTTAAGCTTATCAAAGTGAGGCATAGGTCAAGTAAGGTTGAAAATATTGCTTTACAAACTCCATACTGTTTTCCGGCCAGAGTAACTCAGTTGGTTGAGCGTTGTCCTGTGCACTGGTCAAGGTACAAGCCTAAGTTGTGGGTTTGATTCCAAGTTGGGCACGTGTGGAAGACAACTGATTGATGTTTCTCTCTCTCTATATATGTCCTGGGTGAGGATTTAAAACAAACAAAACAAACACCACCTCCATACAGTTAACCTCAAACTTCCTCTAAAATACCGGTCTAATAATTTAAAAAATTCCACAGGTGCCTATTAACCCTGAATGTGTGCCAGAAGCCTAAAAAGCCTGGACAGATGCTTCCCCATTTCTCCTGCAGAAATGCTCTGCACTTTTTAAAATATATGTTTTTATTGACTTCAGAGAATGGAAGGGAGAGGGAGAGAGAGATGGAAACATCAATGATGAGAAAGAATCATTGATGGGCTGCCTTCCTACACACCCCCTACTGGAGATCGAGCCCACAACCAGGGCATATGCCCTGACCAGGAATCAAACTGTGACCTTCTGGTTCATGGGCCGATGCTCAACCACTGAGCCACACCAGCCAGGTAAGCTCTGCACTTTTAGGGAGATTAGTTACTTCCCTATTCCTGGGAGACTGGGAAATTGGCTTTGTAGTGTCTTTTCCCTATAATTAAAGGAGCTAGTCTCAATAATATTAATTGTAAAATATGGCAACTCTTTGATACTTCTCTCAAGTTGCCAAAGCGGTTTTGTGTCAGGATCGAGTGAAGTCAAAGAGATCATTCAAAATTGGTCCCCAACATGACTGACTAGACTGACAGTACTAGAGAAAGAGACACTTTGAACTTACGCTGGGGTGGCTGGGAGTCAAAGGGCATCATCATTTTTGGTCTCATTCCTCGCCTTCCAGCCAGTGTAGACATGCTGTCCTCAGATTCATGCCCTAGACATCAAATAGAAGGGTGGTTATAAGCATGTGCCCTAGGCCACTTTCAGAAGTAAAACATATCTAGTGGGGAATACACAAACAAGAAAATGGGGACAAGGTGTTTCTGCAGGAAGTGAAATAAAGAGGAAAGTGATCATTAGTGCATTACAGGAGTCCCTTTTGAGAGTCAATACAGTTGACACAATGCTGCCTACCATGCTTCACTGTGGTGTCTGTAAGAGCACACAGACCAAGAGCATTCTGAATACCACAATGACAGCTGGACTCCGACTGAAGGACAGAATGAAATGCATAGACATGGGCTAGGTTGTCTCAAATGCTTGAGTATCAAGCTGGTGAAGCCCAATGAGAGACCTAAAAGATCTAAAAGGTATAGAACCTGTCCCCCACAACAAGCTAGGTATCCTTCATCAGATGTTGACCAAATCTCAGCTGTATAGAAACCACCAAGTTTTAAGGCAACTTGATAAAATGATTTAAATGAAAATAGTCCCTTAACATTTTGGGAAAACCTGCACCTCTGTACGAATTCCGCCTTTGATGGATGTTGCTGTCCATGGAATTGTCAACTGGTGTGATATCTTGAGAGTTACGAGGAATTGGAGTATCGGTCATGATGGGGTTCGGGTCTGGAGACTTATCAATTGGTTTCAGCTCCAGTCTCTCATGATGGATCCAGAGGTCTGGGGGTTTGACATCTTTGGCGTTCCCTTTGTACTTGTGGGAGCCGTTCACTGACTTACAAGCAGCTCGTTTCCTAGGCACAAAATTAAAAGGATTTTTTCTCAAGTAACTCTTTTAAGCATATTTGTCAAATGGTCTAAATGATTAAAACGGCACTTCTGTGAGACGCTTCAAGGAAAGGCAGAACTAAAAACACACAAAAAGAAAACCAGAGGCAAGAAGTTTCCTTCTGGGAGCAGTAAATGGATCTCCCCTTTGTCCACGTGTATTTGGATATATGTACAAGGCATATTTGCATGTTGCCTTGTAAATTTTTTTTTTTTTTTAGTATCAAGAGATTGGACAGCATTTTAAAATCAAATAATCTCTAAAGAAGAAGGTTCCTCCAGTCAACAGAGAAAGGACAAGATTCACCAAAAATATAACAATGAAGTAAAAATAGTATCTATGGCTTATAAAGGAGGGAGGAACAACATTTTACTTTATTTTATATTTTTACTTATTTTCCAAATTAAGTTTATTGGGGTAACATTGGTTAATAACATTATATAAGTTCCAGGTGTACATCTTTGTAATACGACATCTGTATACTCTATTGTGCACTCACCACCCAAAGTCCAGTGTTTCCATCACCATATATTTGATCCCTTTTATCCTTTTCTTCCTCCCCCACCAGACTCCCCCTCTGGTAACCATCATTATGTTGTCTCTACGAGTTTGCTTGTTTTCTTTGAACAACATTTTAGTTAACCCAAAGTAGGACTAACAACTGGGTAAAGTCAAGAGTGTAGGTGACAGTGTCTACTTCTTTGTGCCTTAGTTTTTCTTCCATTACGCCACTCACTCACACATTCAGTAAGCATTTATTAGGGACCCACTTTATGTCAGACTCTGTGCCAGACTGCTGTGCTCTCAGAACTTGTGGTCAAGTGAGGAAGGCAGACATTGGACGATTATGTTAAAATGCTCTGAGTTTAATGAAATGCCAAGCATTACAGTGACTTCTTAATAATTGAACATAAGGTGGACAGGAAAAACCAGGAAAGAGAAGTAAAATTTAAGCTAAGACCCAAAGGGGGCAAGACAGATGGTGCATTCCAGAGGGTGAAATCAGCATATGTCCAAGCCCTGAAGTGGAGAACAACAGCCTAGTATAACCGTAGAAGGACTGCACCAAGTCCCAAGTGGTGGAGGCAGTGACCCATGGGGATGCTGGAAAGGCAGTCAGGGGTCAGATCCTAACGGGCTTCTACAGCATGCCAAGAATAATGAGAAACCACTAAATAGTTTTAAGCAGGAGAGTAAGCATATCAATTTTGAGTTAAAAATTTACACCCACTGTGGTGTGAAGAGGGATTTAAGGAGTAGGAGACAGAATAGGAGACCAGCTAGGATGTGCTGCAATAACCTCAGCCACAACTGATAGTGGCTGGGGACAGTGGGAATGGAGTCAGAAATGACAAGACTTGGTGAATAAACGGATGTGAGGTGGGGCAGCAGAACAGAAGCAAGAGGAATAAAGGATGATGCCAAGGTTTCTGGCTTAAACCATTTACTAACACTGAGAATAATGGGGGAGAAACAAGTTTGACAGAAAAGATTATAAATTCTGTTTTGGATCTTCCAGTGCCTGAGACATTCAAGAGGAAATGCAGAAGAGGCAACTTTGGTAAAGCTGCAGGGGCAGAATTCAGATTGGAAAGAATTAAAGCATGACTAGGCAGTGAAAGAACAGATGAGTATAGATAAGTATTCAAGAAGTTTTGTGGTGGAGGAAAAAACAGGGATTTGTAAGCAGCCAGTGGTAAGCACCATGTGTAGAGGAAGGGTTATAATTGTAATTATTTCTTAACATGGTAGAAGTGGGAGCACACTTAAATGCTGAAGAGACAGAGCCAATAGAGTTAGAGGTTAGCTGTGCTGGAGAGAGGGCAACAGCAAGTACAAGGTCTTAAAAAATAGAAGACACTAAGACCCACAGGATAAATGGAGAACTGGGTTCAGACAGGAGGAAGGACACTTAGGAAGGGGGAGAAAATAATTATTCCCAACAGAAAGGTTCTAGATGTGATGGTGGTATGCCAAGGTACTTCTCTGTTGAGACTGAGGGGCCATAGAGGAATGTGCTGAGAAACAATGAGGGCTACACTCTCCATGCTCTTCAGCTTAGATGTTCTACCAGTGATTCTATAAACAGCTACAATTGAAAGGGAGGCACTTCAGGTATTAAAGAGGAACAAAGCAATAAGAAAAGCTCACGTAGTTTTCAATGGTCAATGGAACTCTCCAACACAGCTAACCTCTAACTCTATTGGCTCTGTCCCTTCAGCACTGGGAAGCAGGCCATTGGGGAAGGAGGGGAAATGTCCTGTGAAGACTTGGTACAATTCTTTTTTAATTCTTTATTGTTTAAAGTATTACATATGTCTCCTTTTCCCCCTATTGACCTCTCCCTGGCCATTCCCACCCCCCAGCACATGCCCTCACCCCCCTAGTATCTGTGGGGACCCAAATCTGAAAGACTTACAGATTCAAATACAAGATTACAGAGCATATTACCAACCCATTTTCCTACCTCTCAATCTGAAGACAAAGTACTTTATTTTTTATTTACTTTAAATTTTAAGTTCTTCAAAGCACTAAGGAATTGTCATTTTGTTTTTTAGATTCTTTTAAATAAAAATCTCAAGATCTCTAAAACTAGCTATAAAATTCAGTTCATAAAGATAGATAAATGTGAGATAGATAAATGATAGATGAATGAAGAAACTTGCAGAAAAGTTCTAGAATAAAAAAAAATGTAACCTTTGAGGCTTTTTTTTAATATCAAAGTTTTATTTTTTCGTATAGATGCATATTTATTTTATTTTAATGATTATTTTTTAAATCCTTTGAGGCTTTTAAGAGAAAGTTTTCTATAATCAAAAGTAGATAGGGAGAGCTGAAAGAATCAATGATCAGGAAGCTTATACAATGAATCTCCATTCTCTTGGGAAAGTGATGCAATGCAAGCTACAGAAAGCTATTTTATTGGGGCAAAAGCAACATTAAAAACATCAGACAGCCTACAGAAGATGACCTACAACATGACCAGCAGCAGTTACAAGGTAGCTGTACTTGTCCTGTGTGTTGACAACAGATGCATCATTATTAAATACATGCATCCTGGCCTTGGGCAGACCAAGTCTGATGGATAATCCCACAGACATGAATGTGTGTGTGTGTGTGTGTGTGTGTGTGTGTGTGTGTGTGTGTGTATGTTCAGGAGCAATACCTTAATCTTATAATCTTTTAGGACACTGCAACTAAAGTCATTTATTTTATTACTCACACTGTTTTTGCTATTGGGGTAACTCAGGAATCTATGTTTTTATGCTGTCTCACTGCCAGATATGAGTTGAATGTGATTTAGGGTCAAGGATTCTCTCAAGTTCAGGAGTGCAGGCTGTTATTAAGCACTACATTACTGAATAACCATGTTATTTGCTCTACACAAGCCTCAAAATCCCAGCGGAGTGCAGAGCTAGCAGCCACCTGTCCTCTCTGGGAATGTGATATGGTGATTATAAATGATCCTTTCTTATCCATTAAGTCAGCCCCCCACCCTGGTACCAACCTCAACTTCTACATGTAGGTTGAACTCAGATTTAGAATAAGAGGCCTGTGGTTTTCTTCCATCTCAGTTGGTATTTCCGCTATAAAATAGCCTATAAGAATGTGCAGAGACTCCTGTGCGTCTGGCTCACTGAATGCATATTAGACATACTTCAGCAGGGCTCCCAGCAAGGCTGGACTGTCCACTTTCCTCTCCTGATCTCTCTACTTGGCTCTGTGACTCAAGAGGTTGAGTGGCATGAACTATATCTACTTGACAATCCTGCCCCTGGTGTCCAGTTGGGTTTGTCAAGTAGAAGGCAGAGGCAAGACACAGGCCTCTGCCTGTTGGGCTAGAGATTGTCAGTGTCTCCATTTCCACCAGCACACACAGCTCCTGTCGAAAGCCTTCTCCCACAACTTCAGGTTTCTGAAAACAGCTTGCTCTACCTCAAAAAGAACTCTTACCCTTTCATGCCTGAGATAGTCATTGTCACCACCTAAGGTGGTAGCCTCTCACTGCTGCTGGCCCTTGAACATTGCTGCCCAGTTTTCCTAACCCTACCTAGGACTTTGTAAATGACCCCTTCATTATACTCTTCTTCACCCCTTTTGAGTGCATCACCTATTTCCTGCCAAGACCCTGACAATACACATTTATGAGAGGAGCCAGTCTGTGTTTTAAGAATATTTACAATATCACTTTCCAAGTATTTTATGTTTATACTCTCTGTGCAATTCCAAATACAGAAGTCACATAAAGCAAAAGAATAGAACCAATCTGTGGGCTACATTTGGGGCTCCTTACTTTTTCTGGTGAGAGGTGGTGCGCCTGGTGCAAAAGATAGCAATGATCACAACCACCACGATGGTAATGACCCCAACAGAGATGATGACGACCAGGAGCATATTACTGTCCAGAGGAGAGGTGGGGCTTCCATGGGGGCTGTTACTGCCTGGAGAGAGAAAAATGGCACATTAGTATTAGAGGATTCTAGAAATGTATACAATCAGGCTGTAGAACCTTCATGTGAGTAGAGATACTTTATGTGAACTTCTTTCTAATGCTCACCACTGCACCTTGTGTAAAAGTGTCCCATGAACATGGCTAGCTCCTCTAGATTATGAAATCCAGAAAGCTGAGTTTTTGCCCTATGAAATTTCTCAGCACAGTGCCTTGCACAAAGCTGTTCAAGAAAAGCTTCTGAAATTATACTGAACATTATACTTGGACAAATAAAGGGTCTGCCCCCCTGTGTCTTATGTTACACATAAATTCATCTTCTAAAGCACCATTTATAAATCATTTAGTTTTCTGACTTTCAAAACTACTTTAAAAATGTACATTCATAGAAAGCAAAAGTTTTTTTCTAAAATATGTCTAAGATCACAAAAAATTGCTTAAAAATTAAAGTCTCTCTTTTTATAAATACAGTTTATGCAGAGTTAATCTCTTACTCCATTTCAGGAAAACGTAGGTCTGCATGTATGCACTAATTTGACAAATATTTAATGAGTGCTTGCTATGCGCCAGGCATTGTTCTAAGTACTAAGGATGAGGATGCAATGGTGAGCAACAAAAATGTGAATGTTGGGGTGGAGCCAAACAGTAAGTCACAAATTATGAATAGTGAGTGCTATGAAAAAAATCAAATGGGGGATATAACACAGTGACTGGGTGGCTATTTTATATTGAGTGGTTGGAAAAAGCTTCTCTGAGAAGATGGCATTTGAGCTGAGATTTGAAAAAATGTAAGATCCCACCATATAAAGACCTGGATGAAGAACACTCATAGAGAGGGAACAGCCTAGTGGAAGGATCCTAAGGCAGGAATGAGCTTGGCATGGTAAAGGAAGAGCAACGTTTCTTTCCTTAAGCAAAGAGAGATATGTAATGTTAGAGGAAAGGAAGTGAGAAAAAACAAAAAGAATGAGGCTGGAGAGGTGTATAGAGACCTATGTAGAACCTTGAGGAATTTAGATTTTCTTCCTCTTCATTATATAATAATAATAATAATTATTATTATTATTGTTGTTGCTTTGCTTACAGGATGAGTTCTAAGCTTTTTTCGAGGTCTTCTGTAACCCAGCTTTTTTCTAAATTATTTTCCATTTTCTGAAACATTTCTTCGCTTCCCACCTCATTATAAAAATTATGCATGCTCATATTATAAAACATGGGTAATCCATACAGATCTAACCACCATGGATATTTGATGTCTTTCCTTCTAGTTTCTCTCTCTCTTATCTTTCTAACCATCAGAGCTGTACAAGAATGGGATGAGCTGCTTTGCCAAGTGATGAGTGTTCAGTCAATGGAAGTACTTAAAGTCATTCTACCAGGCTGGGATGTTGTGGGATAAATTCCTACCATGAAGGTATGGCCTGGGAAGCTGTTTTTAGAAAAAGCTCTCAAAGTGCTTTTCATATACAACCTGGTTTATAAACTTATGAGCTAATCCAAACTATACTTATTGTGGGAATTCCTTCCATAGCGTTAGGTTAACTGACCTTCCAAGTTTTGATTCTATGATGTTATAGGCTACATCTAAGCATAATGCAAAATCTGGGCTGATTTAGGAGAGCTTAAGAGCTTATTCTTCTACATGTAGTTCAATCATTTTTATCCTTCATTTCTGAGAAAAAGGTTAGCAGACAGACAACTCAAATTGTATACACTGACCTTTAATAAAATAACATTTTTATATTTGGGGAAGACTATACAACTAGGTAGGGCCCATAAATTAGACCATATTTGGGCTTTACATGAAACTTTTATTAACAGCAGTGCAGAGCTACTGGGTGGGGTATGCAGGCAGGCTCTGAAAGGAGAGGCTGGGGAGCTCTGAGGGGTTCGGAGGAAAGCAGAGGCAGGGGTAGTTCTCTGTATTCAACAGAGATGGATTCTCATTTATGACTTCATTTGATCTCTAACTTTGAGCTGGCCAAAATCTCCCTTCTAAGATAAAGAGTGAGCTCCCAAAGGGAGCATCAACCTTTCTACCAGGGATGTTATGACAGGCCATTTTTTAAGCTTCACCTAAATCAGTGGTCGGCAAACTGTGGCTCGCAAGCCACATGCGGCTCTTTGGCCCCTTGAGTGTGGCTCTTCCACAAAACACCGACTTCTGCGCATGGGCCACAAAGTTTCAAGCGCACTGTACATGCGCGCCCGCATGTGGTATTTTGTGGAAGAGCCACACTCAAGGGGCCAAAGAGCCGCATGTGGCTTGCGAGCCACAGTTTGCCGACCACTGATTTAGGTGAAGCTTAAAAAATGGCCTGTCATAACATCCCTGGTAGAAAGGTTGATGCTCCCTTTGGGAGCTCACTCTTTATCTTAGAAGGGAGATTTTGGCCAGCTCAAAGTTAGAGATCAAATGAAGTCATAAATGAGAATCCATCTCTGTTGAATACAGAGAACTACCCCTGCCTCTGCTTTCCTCCGAACCCCTCAGAGCTCCCCAGCCTCTCCTTTCAGAGCCTGCCTGCATACCCCACCCAGTAGCTCTGCACTGCTGTTAATAAAAGTTTCATGTAAAGCCCAAATATGGTCTAATTTATGGGCCCTACCTAGTTGTATAGTCTTCCCCAAATATACCACAAAGTTTCAAGCGCACTGTACATGCGCGCCCGCATGTGGTATTTTGTGGAAGAGCCACACTCAAGGGGCCAAAAAGCCGCATGTGGCTCGAGAGCCGCAGTTTGCCGACCACTGACCTAAATTATTGCAACAGCTTTCTAACCACCTTTTCTGACTTTATGTTCTTACCCTCAACTAATTCTTTACTGTCTACTAATAGAAGATACTCAATACTGGTAAATGGAAGTCATAGTTTACCAGTATCAGACATCTTACATATGTTATTTATAGGACGAAGCTCACATTTCTCAGCACTGGCATCTAAGCTTTTGACAGGCTGGCTCTAACTAACCTTCTATCACCTGAGAATCTTATTTTGCCTCTGCGAAGTGTGATCCCGGGGTAGAGCAGTTGTTTTATATTGCCAGGTCTTCACAGAACATGCTGCTTTTGATTCCTGGAATGGTTAACACCCTCCTTGACCATTTAACAACCTCCTATGCATCCTTTAAAATCTGGGTCAGATATCACCTTTTCTACAAAGCTTCCCCTTTCTCTATTAGGTAGTTTGTTACTCACTCCTTTTGCTCCCATAGCCTATTATATAGAACCTGAACCTTTAAAAAAATGTGTGAATGAACAAATGCATAAATGAAAGAAAAGACAAAGAAATAATTACTTTTTTCACAACCTTGAATAATACATTGTGGAGAGCACATAAATGTAACATATACATCCCAAGAGAAAAAACTCACAAAGTCCTAGAACCCAGAGACTAAGAATTTCTTGAAGCATGCAAGTTTGTTTGGTTCTCCTAATAGGCTCATTTCACTGAAACCTGGGCAGTACCATTTTTTTAAAAGTCCCCACCCAAGGATATGTCTATTGATTTTAGAGAGAGAGAGAAAGGGGGAGGGATAGACAGGGAAGGAGGGAGGAAGGGGGGAGAGAGAGGAAGGGAGGGAGGGAGAGAGAGAGAGAGAGAGAGAGAGAGAAACAAACATCGATATGAGAAACATTGATCAGTTGCTACCATATGCATCCTAATGGGGATCAAACCCACAACCTAGCTATGTGCCTTGACTGGGAATTGAACCTGCAACCTTTTGGTGTATGGGATGATGCTCCAAACAACTGAGCCACCGGGCCAGGGCAGGGCAGTACCACATTTTATTTAAATAGATAGCTAGAGATTAAGAGATCATTTTATTTCCACAGTCAGAGTAGGAGTTTCCAGGGGACAGGCCTTTGTCTTCCCTGTGTCTCTGGCAGGGTTGAGGAGACAGTAAGGCTTACTTCTAGCAGCTGCATGTATGGATTTTCACCAATAGCAGATTCCCACATCTGGAATAGAACCTGTGCTTTTTTAGGCTGCATGTGGTAGCTGAAAGGGCACAATGAGATGTCAGAAGACCTGGGTTGTGGTTCTCGGACTTCCATAATTAGTGGGTGAATCCAGGCAGATTGTTTCTCTATTCTGTCTCTTAATGTTTAAAATGGAAATGATACCTCCTTGTCCTGCTTGAAAATGATTTCATGTCTGAAAGTAACTTACAAAAAGCATCCAAAAATATGAAGATAGTGTAAGGAACTGTATAGAGCCTCTGGGACAACTTCAAGGGTACCAACATCCGAATTATAGGGGTGCCAGAAGAAGAGAGAGAGCAAAATATTGAAAACCTATTTGAAGAAATAATGACAGAAAACTTCCCCTACCTGGTGAAAGAAATAGACTTACAAGTCCAGGAAGCGCAGAGAACCCCAAACAAAAGGAATCCAAAGAGAACCACACCAAGACACATCATAATTAAAATGCCAAGAGCAAAAGACAAAGAGAGAATCTTAAAAGCAGCAAGAGAAAGACAGTCAGTTACCTACAAGGGAGTACCCATACAACTGTCAGCTGATTTCTCAACAGAAACTATGCTGGCCAGAAGGGAGTGGCAAGAAATATTCAAAGTGATGAATGCCAAGAACCTACAACCAAGATTACTTTACCCAGCAAGGCTATCATTCAGAATTGAAGGTCAGATAAAGAGCTTCACAGATAAGAAAAAGCTAAAGGAGTTCATCACCACCAAACCAGTATTATATGAAATGCTGAAAGGTATCCTTTAAGAAGAGGAAGAAAAAGAAAAAGATAAAGATAAAAATTATGAACAACAAATACGTATCTATCAACAAGCGAATCTAAAAATCCAGTGAATAAATAATCTGATGAACAGAATAAATTGGTGAATATAATAGAATCAGGGGCATAGAAAGGGAGTGGACTGACAATTCTCAGGCGGAAAGGGGTGTGGGGGGTACAGGAAGAGACAAAAAAAATCGTACACCTGTGGATGAGGACAGTGCGGGGGGAATAAGGGCAGAGGGTGGGGTGGGAACCAGGTCGAGGGGAGCTATGGGGGGAAAAAAGAGGAACAACTGTAATAATCTGAACAATAAAGATTTAATTAAAAAAATAATGTATGAAAGTAACTTACAAATGGTGAAGTTCTGTAGAAGAGTAGGTGCCATCATTAAGTAATTAGAAGGCACCAGCTCTTAGGATGGCTAGGAGAGTAGGAAAACTTTTTTAGAATTCCCAAACTAAAAACACTATAGTAAGTAGTTTGGGGAGAAATGAATGATTCAGAGGCATTCCTTTGGCTTGGGTGATGGCTAATTCCACTAGAGTTTATTTTTGAAAACAAAATTCTAATTTTTCTCTAGAGGCAGTAGGCAAAACGAAGTTTTGTTTGTTCAGAATTAGCCTCATTTTAAGTTGGATATGTGGAGAAACAATTTTATTTATAGACCCTATAATGAGTGGATTACAGTAATTCAGCAAATATTTGCCAGATAAGTGCCTAAAGCTAACTCTATTAAATAAAAGGAAATAGGCAACATGCTACAATCACCACACACACGCTACATAGGCCATTTCAAGATATCAAGCAGAATTGCGCCCACAGTAGGCAACAGGGCCACAGGAGGGGCTTTACCGCTCATGGGAGTTTTGTAGTCAGATCCTAGGTCTGGCAGCCGGCTTCCTTTTCCTGCAGACCCTGAGGCTGAAGGAGAGAAAAAAAATCATGTCAGTAGTGACCCAACCCACAGGTGTTACAAGTCCACTTCACAGCTAATGAGCATTTTCTATATAAAAACTATTTTCAGTCTACTTTGTTCATGAGAAAATGAAGTAGCACATGAACAACTGGGGAAATATAGTCTATTTGTGCAAAGCAAACTAAGGTCTAACTTTCTATGCAATGAGGCATCTGAAAGGCTGACACCCTTTCCACGGCTATATCTAGTGTGTAATTAGACTGCCATTCGCTGTTCACAAGTTGGGAACATACCCCAGTTCTCCAGTCCAGGAAACTGTTTCTGAAAGATGACTTAGAGCACTGATGCTAAAGGAGCTTCTCTTGGAAAAGGAACCAAGAAGACCAGTTTGATTAGCTTCTGCAATAAAGAACTAGACTCTTCCAAGGGCCTGCCTATGCTGATCTGGCCTACCAGGGATTAGATTCTTTTCTCAAATTATAAAGTTGCCTCTCTCTAAGCAGGAGCAGGAAGGCAAGTAGAGGTTCAAATTGGGGTCTCAGTGAACTAAATATACAAAGATGGAAAAACAAAGTCTTCGCTCTGGTTGTTCACAAAGGACAGTATCTCCTAACCCAGCATCAGGGAACACAGTGAGAGGCTGAGAAAACACAAATATCAGTGCTGCCTGACATGTAGTAAATATTCAATAAATATTAACTACTATTATTACAAGCATAATAAATCTTTAGGGAAGAATATAATCTTACTCTTCACAGAGGCAGAGAGCATGAAGCTTCAGAAAAAACTTATTTAAAAAAAAGAAAAAACTTATAAAGGAGTAATTTGTATAAATTAAGATTGGCAAGAAATTAATAAACTAGATGTGTTTCTGTAAAACATTAGAGCTAAAGTCAAGTACTTCTACAAATTATCAGGCTTGGAGGAAATGAAAGAAATTAAAATGTGACGGTTTCTGTGCGTAGTTCATTTAACAGAGTACATCTAGAGGCAAAAAAACAATGTTTTCTATGTTTCTTAAAGTTCAAAACCCCAAAAGGTAACAGAAATTCTTGGGTATCCAAAAGGGCATATTCTAGAAGTTAACTCACTGTCTCTTTTTATTTGCTCATACTTATCATTCTATCCCGTTACTTCTGTTGCCATCATTCCTCCCAAATGGTACATACCACACATCAAGATTTCAGCCGTTCTTTTCACTATGATTAAGTCTAGTTGGTGGAATGACCTAGCACTTGTAAGGCTCTTCAGGTTTAAGTGTCCTTATTTGTCGGGTAAGCCCACATTTAAGCTAAACCATCCAAAGTATCATATTATGTAACTAACTGCCAAAGAACACACTTTGCCAATAAGCTGGTTGGTTTAATTTCTATATATCCCAATATTTTTTTTCTTTTAAATTTAACCCATGAACAAGAAATTCCAAGGATTAACCAAAAAACCAAAGTAAACATGGGCAAAGAATTTTAAATACCAGAGGTGTGGTGCAGCTCAGAACTGTATTCTGGCTTATGGAGTGAAGCCAGGAAAGAACAAGCACATTTATATTCTGTGCATATACAGTATGGTTATTTTTCTTTTCTCACACTTAAGTCAAAGTTTCTACCATGATTAGGGTGCCTCCCCACCCCCACCTCCAGAAAAAAAGCATGTTTGCAGTTTCTACAAAGTACAACAAAAGACTCATAGAATGCAAACATATTTCCAAAGCCCTGAAACTGGAAATCTCAAGTTCTGACTCTTCCTTGCCATTAACCAAGATCCAAAGACTGTATTTCTAACAACTAATCTTTTTTTAATAATAACTATTCTTAAACTATGAAAGCAATCATAAAATTTACTTTTATTGCTCTTTCTTAGTATAGAAAACAGACACCAACTTTAGCTGAATTCGCAGAGACGAAAATCACAAAGCACAGTTATCCTCCACCACAGCAACTATGGTGAAAAGGCCCTGCTGACATAATTTCAAGAATGGTGACAATGTGGCTCATGCTTCCTAAGTTTCCATTTAAAATCATTTATATCCTCTTTTAAAGTAAGCAGATATATTTAAGGGAAGAAATGGAAAAGGAGCTCTTAATCAAGCTTATGATAAGAGAACAAATAGCACAAATTTTGCCATGGATAATCATAGTTTAGTAGGGTAAACTTACAGATAGTTTGTGGGAGGAGGAAAATAGGGTATTCGCTGAATTTGATTACAACTTTTCATTTAGAGATACAAATAAAATACTAAATGCTACAAATTGGTATGCTTGCTGTTATCCTGGCCGAATTTAAATATCTTTGTGCTAATTGGACCCACACTTAAGGCCAATCTCCTACAGCTGCAGAACTCAGTTTTCTGAGTCAGGATTTTTCCCCTACCAGTCTATTTTAGCTCCCAGCTTTTCAGATACCCCAAGTGCCTCAAACATGGACTCAACTCCACTTTGGCCAATAAATACATGGTTTTTTTTAACACATGGTACTGATTTTCAAGAAAAAAAAAAGAAACAAAAACAACAAAAAGCTAATAATAGGTCACAAAAGAGAGGAAAGGAAAGAGAGGCCATCTACTCATTTACCTTGGTCATTAGGCATTTTATCAGAGGAGTCCGCTAACAGGCCAAGCACAGGGGAAGAAAAAACAAGAGCAAGAATCACAAGCTTTGAAGATGGGACAGGCAGAATTTTTAAAGGAAAAAAAAAATCCCACAAACTTCCAAACAAATTGAGTCTTTTTTTTAAGTACCAGCAGAAGAGAAACCAATATATAGTTTCCATATTTCCAGAGACTCAGTCCCCAACTACATTTTATTCCTAAACTCACTTGGTTCAATACTTCATCTTCACTTTCTTATCTAGAATTTCTTTAAAGGGTCCCCTTTCTCCCTACAAAGGTCTACATTAAGCCTTTCAGATTGGGAGCCTGCATGTATTGAAAGAGAATCATCCATCACAATAACACGGTATTGCTCTGTACAGGAAAAGAGAATCACACCTGATCTGACTGTAAACAGCTCTACATCACTGCCTCGAATAGACTGGAGTCAGAGGTCCCTTCTGTGTGATCTGGCCAGGCAAGTGATCTAGGGAGCACCCCTCTGGTGGTCAGTGGTGAGTGAGGGATCAGTCTGAGATAAATACACACACTGTGGCTCATCATAAGGACTGCTTATATCATCCATAGTCTGTACATGCTAAAGTGACATGTGCAAGCACAGTCCCACTAAAGAGACACATAATAAAACACTCTGTGGGGAGCCTTACCTTTAGGTGTTCTGAACTGGACAGCATCAGACATGGGCCCCATGCCCTTTGAGTTCCGAGCCTGGATTTTGAAGTAGTATGGCGTGTCAAGTGTTAGCTCTTGTATTTGGTGAGTCAACCTGTTGCCCACAACAGGCTCAATAACCCAATCGTGTATCTCTGCATTCACATCTGTGCTGTAATATATGATGTAACCTGTCCAAAGTAGTTAATGGGAAAAGAAATCTTATTTCTGCTTCTTCTTTTGCAATCAGTAAGTCAATAAAGATATATGTTAGAGCACAAACAAGTAGAGAACAAGTTACTGATTAAACAGCAATGGTAAAATGCATTAAAAATGCTACACTAAACATAATGTACAGAAAACCACAATTTACACAGTGCCAAGCTGTGAGTTATTATCTATATCCGCAGCTGAAGTAATAAAATGAATAAAAGATAGAAAATACATGGTTAAATACCCTCAGAAACTAAGAAATCATATAAGGAAAAAAATCCAATCTCTTCAACATGTTAATTTTTAAATAATGTACCTAGGTCTACAATTAAAATAATGTGGTTTTGAAAAGCAATAGTGGCCTAAAATGCTGTTTTAGCTCTCACCGATGTGATTTCCTAGGAGAAAAACTCCTGGGAGATGGGCAGCAACCTTTGTTAATTTCTCCCAGATTTGCGGGGGAAGTCACCCCAAACGTCACCTGACAACTTCCACCAGAGGGCACTCAATCTCCATGGCTGAGGCAGAGAGACCCACAACCACAAGCCTACCCATCCAGTGCATTATTCCTGGGCTTTAAAGGCAAAGTACAATGCAATCAATGCAAGTCAAGTCATGCTTGATTCTTTTATGAAAGAAGCAAATTCAAAAACCTAAAAAAGTGACAAAAAAAAGCCCAGGAATTTATGGAAAGGAGTTTCTATAGAAAGCTGAAGCGGAACAATGCTTCCAGTTTTCTTAGGCCGCCCTATTCATACCAAAGAACTTCAGAAGGCAAACTTCTGTTCCTCACACCATATATCCTTGGGCAGAGGTCCCAAGGGGAATATTTAACAGCTAAATCCCTTTCCTCCTTGACAAGGCTGAAAAGGGCACAATGTTTATTGTGGAAGGGTCTCCTCCTCTGGAAGCCCAAGGAAATATTCCAGATCCCTCCAAAGGCCTAGGCCAATTCAAACTAACTCTAGTTGTAAAAGCACAGGAACTAAAGTAAAGTAGCAGGCCTGGAGGGGGGAAAAGGAATTAAAAGTCTAATGGGCTTTAGGGTAAAAGAGATGAATCCCTGTTTATTGGGAATAACCCTATAGAATTAGGCAGGGTTTTTAAAGCAGGTCATGTAGTCAGAGACAGAGAAGAACAGCTTTTCTGAAGAAAATAAGTATCACTACATCCAAAGACTGTCTGTCTAGCACAGGGGTGGGCAAACTTTTTGACTCGAGGGCCACAATGGGTTCTTAAACTGGACCGGAGGGCCGGAACAAAAGCATGGATGGAGTGTTTGTGTGAACTAATATAAATTCAAAGTAAACATCATTATATAAAAGGGTACGGTCTTTTTTTTTTTTTTAGTTTTATTCATTTCAAATGGGCCGGATCCGGCCCGCAGGCCGTAGTTTGCCCACGGCTGGTCTAGCATAACCCATGCCCATCAGACTTTCAAAGTGAGTTAGAACAATTAGCTGGTGACTTATTTTTATGTTCCTGTGGGCAAATAGCAGCATCCCCTTGCTCCACTTTTTGTGACCATCATGACTCATAGCACCCTGTAAATGACCAAGCCAGCCTTCAGACTCCCACTTCTCCCAACACAGAACTCCCCTGGAGTGTTCTGCCCAGCAGTAACAGGGACAGACACACATTCAAAGCATCTTACCTGTAATTTTGCCATTGGCTTCAGAGGGAGGTTGCCAATTTACAATTATGGTCCTAGGTTTTCCCTCTTTACTTACAACTGTCACATCCTTGGGTGGAGAAGTAGGAACTACAAAATAACAATACTTTTAATAATTCCTGTCCATTTCAATTTTATTCACCATTTCCTCAACCCTTTCCATTTATAAGTCACAATCAAGGGTATAAAGCAAAAAAGATAAAGCCTCCTGACTTCAAAGAACTTATAGTCTATCTATAAATAGCTCCAATAAAAAGAATATGGAAAATATTAGAGAGAGTACCACACTATAACGATAAGAATTGGCATCTTGGCTGGGGCCAGGGATATATATCGTAAGTAGATAGGGAAATAAAAAAGGCAAGTACCTAATATATGCCAGGCATTTTAAAAGTGATTTTTCACTTCATGTTTATGGCAACTTGAAAGGTAGTTACCATTATCCCATCAAGATAATGTCTTAGCACATCAAGACACTGAAAATGAGAAAAGTTATGTAATTTTCCCAAGATGATGTTCTTCTCTAATCTGGATTATTTTGTTAGGATATTTTTAAATGTAAAATAATTTTCTCTCTCACCTATAGTTGCCTCTCCAAACCAAATGTTTGAAAACCCAAAATTCCTTCAAAGAACACATGATTTATAAACTGATGTTTATTATTTAAAGTTTGCAAATATTTGAGCTTATTGCTCTGAAATATAAAGCTCTTTATGTAACAGAAAAAAACAATAAAATAAAAATGACTGCATTTCTTGTTTCCATGTTATGGCTGAAAACTTAATGTACTAGTAGGGAAATGAGCAAATTAAGAACATCCTTAAATTTTCTCTTCCTACAGTGCTAGACTCCTCCTAGTTTAAAAATGGAAGAAAGCCTGGTGAAATGCAAACATCCTAAGGAAATACATAATGTCATTTATTAGCTAATGGGTTGGAATTAAAGCAAAAAGATATTCTTTTAAAACTGGCCAAGAAAGCAAACTCAAGGTCCATGTAAGCTTTTGTGCACTGTATTTCTAGCTCTCCAAATCCAAACCCTTTTCTCTGTAGGATGTACAACTCACTCACTGTTCAGAAGACAAAAACATTAGGGATAAGCCTTCTGGGGAGATACTACACCTCCATTTTTTCATTATTTATATACAGGAGAGTAAAAAATAGGAGGCTGGAATAGATAGAGACTACCAATAGTTACACATGACTTCATGCTGGGAAAGTATAAGAAGCAGAAGTGTAGGCCTACAGGTAAGCAAAAAGCAAACAGAATCTCAAACCTGGAGGGCTTGCTTTCCCCTTAATTTGCTTTTTTGTCTTTTCTCTTTCATGTTTACTTACAGACAAAAACCCTAAGGATACTCCAGAGAGAGATTTTACAAAGACACTAATTGGTCTGCAAGAGAGCTACTGGTAAGTGCTAGACTCCACAAGCAGCACTGCAGCTGCTTGGTGACGGGCAGGCCGCTTCATCTTTTCTTTCTCAAGTTTACCTGGAAAGCAGGACTAATGACAAGAACCCCTCCCATTCGCACAGTGCTTTATAACAGCCTGTGCTTTCCCATCTGCTCCTTGTTCACCCTAACAAGAATCCTGTAAAGTAGGAAAGGCAGAGGTTCTATCACCCCTCTTTTATAGGTGGAAGAAACAGATTTGGAGAGGCTGAATGACTCGCTTATGATCACTCAGTAGATGGCTGACCTGGGATTGAACTCAAGTCTCTTGATTCCTAAAATTTAATATGCTTTGTATTATATTATCCTGTTACTGTTATTGTACAATGATTAAAAAACCATAATTCATTAGCTGAAAAATCAAACATTGAACTCCAGCTGTAGTTGCTCACAGAATTCGGTAAATACATTCACATACTCAATTCTTTCCTCGGTTAATAAAAGGAGGTGATAAGTCTCATGATTTGAAATGTGGCACAACATTAGCAGGAACTTCCACTGACTTTCGTATCTTGCAGAGAAGAAATGCCATATGACCTAAGGTTCTGACAACACATACCTAATTCAAAGGTAGTCCCATGGGCTGTCATACTCCATGTGCTTGATCTTCGACCTTTGGTCACCATCACAGAGAATTCATAGAGTGTATTTGCTTTTAAACCAGTCACCAAGTAACTCAAAGTCGTTGCATTTGCATTCTGGAAATATATGATTCAAGAACTTCAGATTGAGGAAATATCCATAGTTAGCTTTTCTTACCCAGACCATATGTGCTAGTACCTTATACTTGGTGTTTGCTGGGATGTTGGTTTTCCATCGGACTGTGTAGTACCGAGAGTCTGTAATCTTCTGGTGTTTGGGCAGTGAATTGTCCGCCCACGTAATCCTTATGGTATCATGACTCAGAATGGAAGCCTGGACTCCCACTGGTGGCATCATGGGAGTGGGATCTGGCACTGGAGTGTATGGAGCATTAATAACAAATAAATCAACCTCAGAAGTGTCTGGGTAAAAAGTAATTAAAAAGGGAAGTGGCATTTAACAGAAACAAAAATAAAAGGGAAATGCAGGGTAATATAATGGAATGAAAGGTGAGAAATGAAGAAAGAGAAAGAGAATCCAGAGTTAATAAATAACCACCATTCATTTAAAAGAATATTTCCACTTGTGTTCTTTCAGGAAAATGTCTAGAAAAATACTAATTAATCATACATTCTCTACTGTATTCTGTAGGTGTATTCAAATTAGATAATCCAGTGATTGTATCAACATATTCATACTTGGATTTTCTTTAAATTACTTGAAAATTCTACTTTTGTCCAAACAAAATCATAAAAAGATAAAAATTGCTTTTAAAATTAAGGGTATAATTTCTAAGCAAGTAACACAAAGTTCATACTCTGATTTGATATTCTAGTGACTGGCTGAGTTTTTGGGATATGGCTTATCAATGCATATCACCAGACATGTAAAGGTGCTACTCTCAAAACCCGAGTCCTGAATATCAGCCTGGCTGTGGTAATCAGGGTATCTGATAACCACACAGGGTTCAGTTTAGATCTGCTGATGTCCTGCTACACTTTTTCCAGTAGAGTCAGAGAACAACTGAATGATGAATCCCAATAAGTTATGGAAAATGCCATTGTTATGGATCCAACTGACACTGTCTTTATAACTTTAGAAACCAGAGTACTTATCTGACAGAAAGGAAAGTCTACTATTCTCATGTGCTCAACAAAACAGAGGCCAGAGAGTGACGTCAGAGGAATGACAGCATAAGAGCACGTCTTTTCCTCTCCCCCTGACATTCCAACAAGTTAACCATCTAAATTCAACAAAAAAGTCCCTGATCAACATAGATGCACGCCTGAGAGACCCGCACACTGAAACACCTAAAGGTGGGCATTCGGGGATAAATGGGGAGATGAGAAGGGAGGAAAGTACAGACATAGACTACAGAGGCAGCCCTTCAGCTCAGGGGGGCAGCCCAGCAGGGCAATCTGCAAGCTGCAACTGGCGAGCAGGGAGCTACCAGTGGCCAGAGCTAATAGGGTCCGAGTTGTGCGTGCATTTCTGCAAGCCGCCAGGAGACAGAACAGTGACTGAGTTAGCAGACACGGGCCCAACAGAGCACGGACTAATAAGAACCCCTCCCATCTGCACAGTGCTTTGTAACAGCCTGTGCTTTCCCATCTGCTCCTTGTTTCACCCTAACAATAACCCTGTAAAGTAGGAGCATGTCTCCTGCCCTCTGCTTCTTATACTTTCCCAGCATGAGGGTTGCATGGGCCAGACAAACAGAGGTCAGGGGTCACCATTACAGTGAGGGCAAAACAAACTCCATCCCCAAGCAGCACAGCTGTACTGTCCCAAGCTGCAGAGCTCAAATCTGGGAGATCACAGAGGTAAAATCTTTAGATTCAGCGCCATCTATTGGAAGATAGTAGAAAGACCTTCTAGGAGACAAATGCACAAACAAAGAAGGGCAGCAAATACCATGAAGAACCACTGAACAACAATGACCAGAAAGAAAATGAAAAATCCCCAGAAAGTAGGCTGTAACACATGGAATTATGTGACATAAATCAGCAGTTGCCAACCTCACGGGCCACCAGTGGTCTGTGGACCACCGGTTGGTGACTGCTGATATAAATGACAAGAGATTTCAAGATTGCAGCTTTAAAAATACTCAACCAAATGCAAGAAAATACTGACAGGCAATTCAGTGCACTCAGAAAACAAACCAGTGAACAAAATGAGTATTTCTCCAAAGAAATTGAAACTTTCTATCAGAAATCGAATCTATCAGAATTTCTGGAAATGAAGCAGGCAATTAAGGAGATTGAGTAAACTGTTGAGCACAGAAAACAGAACCAACCAATTAGAGAAAAGATCTAGTAGTATTCAAGACAGGAATCAAGAAATGCTGTAGAAGGAAGAAGAGAGAGATCTGAGAATAAAGAAAAACGAAAAAGCTCTACGAGACCTCTCGGATTCCATTGGAAAAAGTAACATCAGAATCATAGGCATGTGGAGGAGGAAGAAAGGGAGCAGGGAATGGAGAATCTATTAAAACAAATAGTGGACGAGAACCTCCCAAATCTATGGAAAGAACTAGATCCTTGAATCCAAGAAGCAAAAAGAACACCTAGTTACCTCAATCCAAAGAGGCCCTCTCCAAGGTACTTGGTAGTGAAGCTGTCAAAAACTAATGACAAAGAAAAAATTCTCAAAGCAGCCAAGGAAAAGAAGGAAGTGACCTACAAAGGAAAACCCATCAGGATCTCATCTGACTTCTCAGCAGAAACTCTGTAAGACAGAATAGAGTAGAACCAAATATTCAAAAGTCTGAAAGAGAGAAATTACCTGCCACAAATAATATATCCAGCAAAATTATCCTTTAAATATGAAAGAGAAATAAGGATGTTCCAAGACATACAGAAGCTGAGGGATTTTATCACCAGAAAACCTCCATTGCAAGAAATACTCAAGTGAGTTATTCTATCTGAAACAAAGAACATAAGGTCACAACACTACAAGTAAGATAATAAAAAAACTTACAGCATAAATAGGGATAATTTGTGACAACAAAAACATACAAGAGGAAGGGAGAAAGGTCTGAACTGGCAAAGGAAGATGAAGATCAGATGCTCTCAAAAGGGAAAAAACTATGGTATATAAGCAACTTCATTTTTTATAAACCTAATGTCAACCACACACAAAAATCCCCCAAACAGGACATATAGCTTAAAAAAGAGAAAACAAGAGAAAAGATGAATGAAATACCACCAAACAAAAACAAAAAGATAGAAGCATAAATTAAAAGAACCAATGGAGGCACAGAACTACCAGAAAACAAAAGATAAAATAGCTATAAGAAATCCTCAAACAACAATAATTACCCTAAATGTTAATGGTCTGAATTTACCAGTAAAGAGGCACAGAGTAACAGAGTGGATCAAAACCCAAAACCCAACCATATGCTGCCCTCAAGAGACACATCTAAGTAGCAAAGACAAAGGTAGATTCAAAGTAAAGGGTGGAAAATGATTCTCCAAGCAAATAACATCCACAAAAAAGCAGGTGTACCATACTTATATCTGACAAAACAGATTTCAAGATAATAAGAGAAAAAGATGGACACTTTATAATGATAAAGGGAACACTACATCAAGAAAACATAACACTTCTTAATATATATGCACCCAACCAGGAAGCACCGAAATATAATAAACAGCTACTCACAGACTATTCCATTGTAAACTTTAGATAGATCAACCAATCAAAAAATCAATAAAGAAATATTGGCCTTAAATGAAACACTAGACCAAATGGACATAACTGACGTTTATAGAACATTTCATCACAGAACACCAGATATACATTCTTAGCATAATACTCTCCAGGTCCATCCATGCTGTTGCAAATAATAAGAGTTCTTTCTTTTTTATAGCTGTGTAGTATTTGATGTTAAGTGACATAAGCCAGTCAGAGAAATATAAGCATCACATGATCACACTCATATGTGGAATCTAATGAACAAAATAAATGAAGAACAAAATAGATCCAGAGACATAGAAACATGGAACAGACTGTCGAAGCTCAGAAGAAAGGCGGGGGCGGGTCGGTGGGTGGGAAGAGATCAACTAAAGAATAAGTATGCATTTATGCCTAACCCATGGACACAGACAATAGGGTGTGAAGGCCTCAGGTGGGGAGTGGGAGCAGGCTGGAAGAAGTCAATGGGGGAAAAAAGGGGACATATATAATACTGTCAACAATAAAGATTTTAAAAAAAGATTACACATTCTTCTCCAGGGCACATGGAACATTCTCAAGGATAGGTCATATGTTGGGTCACAGAACTAGCATCAACAAATTAAAAAAGGTCGAAATTATACCAAGCATATTTTCTGACTACGATGCCTTGCAATTAGAAATCAACTGCAAAAAGAAGTAAAGAAACCCACAAATACATGGAGATTAAACAACTTACTACTAAAAAACGACTGGGTTAAAGAAGTAAAAGATGAGATCAAAAGATATACAGATACAAATGAGAATGGTAAGACAACATATCAAAACCTCTGGGATGCAGTGAAAGCAGTAATAAGAGGGAAGTTTATATTGAGAAATCCCAAGTAAACAACCCAACATCACATCTTAAAGTACTAGAAAAAAAAAAAAGAACAAAAGCAACCCAAAGATAGCAGAAAAAAGGAAATAATAAAAATGAGAGCAGAATTAAATGGAGAAAAGACTATACAAAAAAACAAGAAAACAAAGAGCTGATTCTTTGAAAAAGTTAAAATTGACAACCCCCCAGCTAGACTCACTAAGGAAAAAAAAGGGAAAAGACCTATATAAACAAAATCAGAAATCAGAGAGAAGTCATCACAGACATCACAGATATACAAAGGATTATGAAAAACTTTATGCCACCAAATTCAATAACCTAGAAGAAATGGATAAGTTCCTAGAAATATATAACCTTCTTGACTAAATCATGAAGAATTGGAAAATCTAAATAGTCCAATCAGCAGTGAGGAAATGAAAACAATCATCAAAAACCTCCCAAAAAACAAAAGTCCAGGACCAGATGGCCTCACCAGTGAATTCTACCAAGAGTTCAAAGAAGAAATAAAACCTATCCTTTTCACACTCTTCCAAAATATTAAAGAAGAGGCAATACTTCCTAACACATTCTATGAGGCCAATATAACCATGATACCAAAACCTGGCAAAGATAACACACACAAAAACTACAGACTAATATCCCTAATAAATACAGATGCAAAAGTCCTAAACAAAATACAAGCAAATCAAATACAACAGTACATCCCAAAAATAATACAACACGATCAAGTGGGATTTATTCCAGGAGCAAAAGAATGGTTCAACATTTGCAAATCAATCAACATAATACACATAAACAAAATAAAGGATAAAAATCATATGATCTCATCAATAGATGCAGAAAAAGCATTTGATAAGATACAACATTCACTTATGATGAAAATACTTAATAAAATAGGAATAGAAGGAAAGTACCGCAACATAATAAAGCCCATATATGATAAACTGTCAGCCAATATCATACTCAGTGGCAAAAAACTGAAAGCTTTTCCCCTAAGATCGGGAATAAGACAAGGATGTCCAGTCTCACTACTCTTATTCAACACTAGAGGCCTGGTGCATGAATTCATGCACAGTTGGGTCTGGCCATCCTGCGCTGATTGTGGCCAATTGGGGCCAGGCCGGCTGGGGGCAGAGGATGTGGGAGGTTGGCCGCTGGCCCCAACCCCGATCAGAGTGGGGGGGGGGGCTTGATTGGGGTGGGGCCAGCCAGGGGGAGAGGCCGTGGGCAGTTGGCCGGCCAGCCCCACCCCTGATCGGAGTGGAGGGGGCCGATCGGGGCTGCAGTGCGTGTCAAAGCAACCAGTCATTCCGGAGTTCTGGTCACTTGGCTTTTATATAGATAGATAGTGCTAGAAGTCCTAATCAGAGCTATAAGGCAAGAGAGAGAAATAAAAGGCATTCATATAGGGAAGGAAGAAATCAAATGGTCACTTTTTGCGGATGACATGATGCTGTATATAGAAAACCCTAAAGACTCTACCAAAAAACTATTAGAAACAATAAACAAATATAGTCAAGTTGCAGGGTACAAAACCAATGTGCAAAAATCCACTGCCTTCCTGTATACTAACAACAAAATTTCAGAAAAAGAAATGGGAAAAAATAATTCCTCTTGCAATAGCAAGCAAAAGAATAAAATACCTAAGAATAAACTTAACAAAAAATGTGAAAGACCTATATTCTGAAAATTACAAAACATTATTAAAAGAGATTGAAAAGGATACAAGAAAATGGAAAAATATCCCTTGCTCATGGATTGGAAGAATCAACATAGTTAAAATGGCCATATTACCCAAAGCAATATACAGATTTAATGCAATCCCCATCAAAATCCCAATGTCATTTTTTAAAGAAATAGGATGAGAAATCATCAGATTTGTATGAAAATACAAAAGACCCTGAATAGCCAAAGCAATCCTGAGGAAAAAAGAATGAAGCACGCTACCTGGCTTCAAATTATACAACAGAGCTACAATAATCAAAACAGCATGGTATTGGCAGAGAAACAGAATCACAGATCAATGGAACAGAATAGAGAGGGAGAGCCCAGCTATGAAACTACACGTATATGGGCAGATAATTTTCAACAAAGCAGCCAGAAATGCACACTGGAGTAAAGATTGTCTCTTCAATAAATGGTCTAGGAAAACTGGAAAGCCACATGCAAACGAGTGAAACTGGATTACAGTGTGTCCCCATGTACAAAAATTAATTCAAACAAAATGGATCAAAGACCTAAACGTAAGACCCGAAACAATAAGTTACATAGAAGAAAATAGAGGTACCAAACTTATGGACCTGGGTTGTAGAGAATATTTTAAGAACTCGACCTCAAAGACAAGGGAAGTAAAGTAAAAAACAAATGGATGGGACTATATAAAACTAGAAAGCTTATGCACAGCAAAAGAAATGGACAACAAAACAAAGAGGCAGCCAACCAGACAGGAGATGATATTTGCAAACAGTAGCTCCAACGAAAGTTTAATTTTCAAAATATATAAAGAACTCATAAAACTCAACACCAAACAATCCAATCAAAAAGTGGGCGGAGGACCTGAAAATACACCTCTTCCAAGAAGACATACAAACAGCCAATAGATATATGAAAAGATGTTCAACCTCACTGGCAATTAGGGAAATGCAAATCAAAACTACAATGAGATATCACCTTACACCTGTTAGAATAGCCATTATCAACAAGACAAACAATAACAAGTGTTGGAGAGGTTGTGGAAAAAAGGGAACCCTCATCCACTGCTGGTGGGAATGTAGACTAGTACAACCACTTTGGAAAGCAGTCTGGCGATTCCTCAAAAAATTAAGAATAGAGCTACCATATGACCCAGCAATCCCTCTCCTGGGCATATACCCAAAAAACTCTAAATCAGGTATTCGCAAAGATATATGCACCCCTATGTTGATTGCAGCATTATTCATGGTGGCCAAGACATGGAAACAACCAAAGTGTCTTGCAATAGAGGATTGGATAAAGAAGATATGGTAAAGATACACCATGGAATACTACTCAGCCATAAAAAATAATGAAATAGCCCCATTTGCAACAACATGGATGGACCTTGAGAACATAATGCTAAGTGAAATAAGTCAGTCAGAAAAAGCTAAGAACCATAGTGATTTCACTCATACGTAGGATATAAAACTGAAATTTATGAACACAATCAGCAGTGTGGTGGTTGTCAGAGGGAAGGCAGTGAGGGGGAAGAGGGTCCTAATACATGGTGACAGGAGAAGATCTGACTTTGGGTGATGGGCACATGGTGCAATATACAGATCTTATAACATAGAAATCCACACATGAAACCTATCCAATATAATAAAAGCCTAGGTGGTGTCGTGTGACGTCGTCACAAGATGGCCACCGTGACGTCGTCACAAGATGGTCACCACAAGATGGCCAGCAGGGGAGGGCAGTTGGGGGCGAGATCAGGCCTGCAGGGGAGGACAGTGGGAGCGAGATCAGGCCTGCAGGGGAGGGCAGTTGGAGGCGAGATCAGGCTGGTAGGGGAGGGCAGTTGGAGGCGACCAGACTGGCAGGGGAGGGCAGTTGAGGGCGATCAGGCCGGCAGGGGAACGGTTAGGGGGCAATCAGGCTGGCATGCAGAAGCAGTTAGGGATAATCAGGCAGGTAGGCAGGCGAGTGGTTAGGAGCCAGCAGTCCTGGATTATGAGAGGGATGTCTGACTGCCAGTTTAGGCCTGATCCCTAAACTGGCAGTCGGACATCCCCCAAGAGGCCCCAGATCAGAGAGCGTGCGCAGGCTGGGCTGAGGGACACCCCTCTCCGTGCATGAATTTCATGCACCAGGCCTCTAGTATGTTCATGTTGACCAATGTCACCCCAATCAATTTAATAAATACATACATACATACATACATACATACATACATTCAGAGGCCAGAACAAGCACAAAGGCACCGAGTTACACAAGCCCAGGTCAATATAGCAGGATCTGTTTGGGCTTTCCCAACTCTTCGGTCAGTTTTTCTAAGTATACACACACTGATTTATTTAAGTTAAGGTTTTAAAATGGGCTTCCCACATGGTTATCATGATTAGCCCTTCCTATTAACTCAAAATTTGAAAAGGCCTGGGCCTTGTTTATAAATAATTGCCAAGCTAAAGTAATAGTCTCCATCTGTGCATTTCCTACACAATGAGGACTAAAAATAACAGAGGAACAGCATGCATTATAATCAAGGGCTTTGTTCAAAGATTAGGGCACATACCACCAGTTACAGAAAATGTACTTGATGTGCAAATATCATTAAGACTTCTTCGAGAAAATTTTTTATTTGTAATAACTCTTGCAAAAAATAGCTAGGTTATCTGTGTTAGGAACATTTCCCTGTGTATTTCTAAACAGAAGTAATATATTTTTAAGTCATAAATAAGGAAATAATGCTTTTTTTCTATTGTAGGCTGAGTTAAGAAAGTAGTAAATAACTTATTTAATATTTTTTAATCTTGCTTCTTACCCTTTATGAAAAGTTATTTTTAAAGAAGTTATAAATTATAAGTGCACAGGACAGAAGACAGGACAGACGACCACCCATATAGTCATGATGTTGGTCTTTTTAAGTAAAAGCACAAAAAAAGGGAGACAGAGATGGGCTTTTTAAAAAGAATAATGCCACATTTGTAATATTATGCAAAGTATCCAGAAGACATAGCAGGCAAAACAGATTCACAATTCTGGGAAACAAATGAAGAAGAGTACTTCTGTAAGTGACAAATTCTTTGATTTTTCAGTACCCATTAGAAAAATTTATAACTCTAATGTATTACTTTGATAAACTTTCTCATTCAGATCTAAATTAGATGTTTTATATAACTATAGAAACTTTACATTATATGGATAATCCTTTAAAGATATTTTAATTAAATTACAAAAATAAATATTTGGTCTCTTTAGTAATAAATATATAGTTGATCAAATGGATAGTACATCTGACTTTATACTCTTTATATAAAGCTTATGAAAAGCACATACAAAAATACTTCCCCAACCAACTCGGGTGTCTAAAAAAGAAAATGTTGAAAATGTATCAATCATATACATTTACTGCTACCATCAGTAACCTATATCATTCCTCCAGAGATATGGAGATATTTTTGTTTTTTTACTCATTTTAGTTATAACTCACATAACCTGAAGATGAAAAATCACTTTTAATTCTCTCACAATTATGCTTTTGAGATCCCAACACATCAAAAACATGTTTTACATATCTACATAGAATTATTTACATGACAGGATTGTCAATAGTGTCTAAAAAGTAAAACAGGAATTAACAGAATATTCCATATCGAAAGCCCATATTCCTTTCTGAAGCCTGTACCCTAAATTGCCATATTCTTTTCCTTCCACTGATACCGAGGGGTAGGCTTCATGCCAAGATTCTACTTAAGCTGATGGAAAAAAAGCCAAAGACCAGGGATGGACAGGATACCTTACCTGTATGAGGTCTGGTCACAGCACTCTCATATAGAGGGATGCCTTCACCCACATTGTTAAATGCTTTCAAGGTAATCACATAATGAGAGCTGGGATCTGAAGGAAAGAAACGTCAAAACACTTAAAATTCTCACTACAGAATTTTAAAAGTTCATGGGTGACTGTACATGATCTTAACACATTTCGTACCGCTCAGGAGTTTTCTCGTGTTTCTCGCGCCATCTGTTAAGGACCGCTCACGAGTGTTCTCGTTTTTCAAGCCCATAGAAAAAGGAGCGAATCTAGATACTTATGTAAATTTTGTTTGGTCCCTCTTCATAGAGGAAAATGTTTTACGCAGTACCATACGTTAAAAAAGTACTAGGAACTTTAATTGTTTAATTGTTTTTGTAAATAAAAATGTTATTAATTATTGAAAAACAACACCTAAAGTGCATTATGATGATTTAAATAACGTGCAGTTTGCCCAAAAACGTGCGGTCCCTGGCGTATGTCTTAAGAGATTTCTATGCGGTACGCAATGTGTTAACTGCAGAGGAAATCAGGAGGGAAGATTTAAGAAATTTTTACGTGAGATTATTTTGAGGTGTGGGGAGATGTGAGATGGCTGTATACACAGTACAGCAGTCCCCATAGGAGACATGTTCCAAGACCCCCAGTGGATGTCTGAAACCAAGTATAGTATCAAACCCTATATATACTATGTTTTTTCCTATGCATACATACTTATGATAAAATTTAATTTATAAATTAGGCACAGTAAGAGATTAACAACAATAACAATAAAATAGAATAATTGTAACAATGTACTGTAATAAATGTTATGTAAATGTGGTTCCTCTCTCTGTCTCTGATAACCAATCTGATGACTGAGACTGAGACGGCTAAGTGACTAACAAGCAGGTGGCAGACTCAGCATGGTTATGTCCGGGAGGGAGACAGAGTGGGATGGCTTGAGATTTCATCACACTAGTAAAATGATGTGCAATTTAAAACTGATTATAAACTGTTTACTTCTGGAATTCTTCATTTAGTATTTTTAGGCCTTGGTTGTCCGTGGATAGTCAAAACCACAGAAACTGAAAGAGTGGATAAGGGGAAACTTATCCACTGTTGCAGGGTAGAAAAACTGTCTGGAGTTATTACCAGAAGTGAGGTTGGCTGTGCTTAAATTCTCTCTTGAGTTAGTAGCAGGAGTGAGTGTAGCTGTGCCTGAATTATCTCTTGCCCTCAACTAATGGATGGTTTAGTGATGTTATTATATAGTGTGGGGCTTGGATTAGAATGAGTAAATAGGACTTCCATGTGTTGAAAGCCCATAGATAAAGTTTGAAATTAAACAAACCCCTTTCCTTCTCAGAAAGGGGACAGCAACTACAATAGCCAAGGTAGAGAAGTAGGAGAAAAACTGTTAACTCAGAAACCGCTGAATGTCTTTAACTCTTGGGAGCGGGGACTCCAAATCTGGGAACTGTCTAACCTCATCTAGCCCTCATGTAGACTTCTTGGCAGAATAAGATATGGCCCAGGACTAGGACTGGCTTGGAGGTGATGCTGCAGAAAATGTGACTGAAAGAAACACTTCCAGGTGACCATGTAAAATGCTGCTAGTTAGACTCTATGAAAAGAGTGGGTATTAAATAGTTAGAATATCATTCATTTTCCTATTTGCTGAGGTAAATTAGGATGACTCTACTTCATAACATTCCTGATCCAGGCAAAATTTAGGATGGGTAACTTCAAAAGTCCAGTCAGAAATGAAAATTTGAGCCCTGGCCTGTGTGACTCAGTGGTTAGGGCATCAGCCTGCGTACCAAAGGGCAAGTATTTGGGTTTAAAGGCACTTGGTCTCCCAATGGCAGAAAGAATTGACAACAAATGGAATCAACAAGACTCAGTACTTGATTGGTGAGAAAAGATGACATGGGAGATGATAAAGTCCTTCACAGAGATTGGGGACAGAGACAGAGCAACCATGGTATAAATTTTCAAGCCCACATTCTATTCCCACTCTTCACTCTCTCCCTATGTGCTTTCACTCATTTCCTTAGCTTGGGTTAGCATGTATGTGCCATCAAATGAAAAATCATATTTCTAGGCCAGACCTTTCTTCTGATCACCAAACCTTTAGGTTAAACTTTCTGGCATCTCCACTTGGATGTCTCAAATCTCTCTCTCTCCCCCCACTTCAGATCAATCCCTGTGTTTCTACTTCATAAATAGCACTTCTATGCTCCCTGCTGCTCAAGTCAGAAACCTGGGAGTTATTAAGACATCTCTCTCCCTCCTCCCCTGTTATGCAAATAATCAAGTCTTGTTGATTATACCCACTTGCCTCGCCACCACTGCCTTAATCTGCATGCTCCATCTCTCAGTTCACTGAGCACTTTGTGCCTAACATTGGGCCTTAACATGTGCAGCTGTTCTCTATGCTAGGGACACAGGCTACCTTTCTTCTTTACCTAGACAATGCCTACTCATTTTAAAGGACTCATCCCTTTAAAACTGGATTAGCCTCTCTAGTTACATTCCATTTCTCTTCCTCGGCAATCTAAACAATTTCCATTATTTAAAAATTATATTATTTCTAATAATTGGGATCATGTTTGGTTGATTCGCTGCTCAATCTTTAACACAGTGTCTGGGATACTGTAGGTATTCATTAAATATTTGCTGATTAATACGAAGATTTGTGGGAAAAGACACTAACTTTAATTTTGATTAAGTTATGATAGAATATGGGCTATATCCCAGTGCAGATACCCAGTAAGGAGATGTTTATATGAACCTGAAACTCAGGTGAGAGTTCTAGTTTGCTTAATAAATGAATTCCTAAATGTACTTTATTCTGACTTTCTTCTTTTGATCAACATTATATGCATCTTAGATCTATCAGTGTTGAGTTATACAGCTCAAGCTCATTTTACTTTATGCCAAATTAAATCCTGAAATCAGGTAGTATGGGTCTTCTAAGCTTAATTCTTCATTTTATTGTTTAAATAATGTTTGTATTTATTTCAGAGAGAGAAGAAGGGAGAGGGAGAGAGAAATATTGATCAGCTGCTTCCTGCATGCTCCCTACTGGGGATCAGGCCTGCAACCAGTGCATGTGCCCTGATTGGGAATCGAACTAGTGACCTCGGGGTACACAGGACAACGTTCAACCAACTGAGCCACACCAGCAAGGGCTTATTCTTCAGTTTCAAAATATGTTTGACTATTCCAGTAATTTTGATCTTTCATATAAATTTTAGAATAAGTTTACCAATTTCTACAAAAAAGTGTATTGGGATTTTATGTAGGATTGCATTAGGGAGAATGCAATTTTAATGCAAATTTCCAACTGCTTACTGTTAGAGTATGGAAATACGACTATTTTTGTACCTTGTGACCTTGCTAAACTTACTTATAGTTTTAGTAGCCAGGATTTTCTATGAGTCAGTAGAGTGCTCAAATATTGATTTCTAAATACCATTTTCCATAAAAGAAACTAGGGTTCCTTGGAGAAATGGCTGATTCAAGGGCTAAGGCTAGGAAATACCAGGGTCTGAAACATCTTGTCAGATGGACAGAGGAACCAGTTATAGGAGATTCCCACTGGCCATTCTTTCACTGTGAAAGAGGAGGAAAGCTTTTTCTTACTAAAGAATGCTAATACATGTAGAAGAAATAATGGCATTAGGAAATCACCACTTGTGAAACAACATAGTGATAACTATTACTAAAGATACTAAAACTAGTAAGTGAAAGTTTGATGAGAAATAAAATATTTACAAAGACTCATGGTATCTCTCCCCTACAAGGTACTTAGTAATTATGAAGAGAAAAATAATAACTTTATAGCAGAGAAATGAGGCAGGTACCATTTAAATCAAGTGATTAAAGTTAACATCACTAGTGTGATAGGCTCTTCTGTGCCTCCTAAGATGAAGCACTGACAAGATCACACTGTGTCTATGCTCTGCCTCCCAGAAGAACGTCAGTTGAATGTATGAGGAAATATTAGACAAGTCTAAACTGAGGGACATTCTACAAAATATAATGGTCTATACTTTTCAAAAATGTCATAGTCATTAAAGTAAAAAAAATACTGAGGAACTGTTCTATATCAAAGAAAACTAACGAGACACAATAACGAAATGCAACATGTGATCCTGGACAACATGTGATGCCTTCTTTTATTATAAAGGACATTAATGAGACAACTGGTAAAATATCAATAAAGTCTATAGATATTGTGTCAGTGTCAATTTGCTGATTTTGATCATTGTACTGTGGTTATGTTAGCAAATGTCCTCGTTTTTACGAAATGCACATTAAAGTATTAGTTGGTAGAGAGACATCATGTCTCAACTTACTCTCAAATGGTTCAGAGGGAAAACAAGTACATATAGGAAGATACAGACTGATAAAGCACATGTGGAAAAATGTTAACCTCTGGGGAGCTGAGTGAAGGATTAACAGGAATTCTTTGGACTATTTTTCTAAGTTTTCTATAAAAATAAAATTATTACACAATAAAAAAGGTAAAAGGAAAGCATTCACAAGTACAATTACTTCCTTTACTGAGCATACACACCCAGATTTTCGATGGTGTAATAGCGCTGTTTATAGTCCACTTTGATGGTCTGGGCGTGCGGGCTGCCAATGCCATAACCAATGGCATAACCTCTGACCACAATGTTCTGGTTCTCTGGAGGAGTCCAGCTTACTACGATGCTAGTGACAAGTGGGCGGACATGAAGAGAACTAGGTACTTCAGGAACACGAGTTTCTGGGAAGGAAATTAGAAAGGCAAGATGAGGTTTATCTTCCGTTAGGATATTTCATCACCTTTGGGGAATGGTGTTCAATCTCCTGCTAAATTATTTGGGGCTAAGTTTTTCCATTATGCCCAAGAATTCAAAGAGAATATGTATATACAGTAAAGTACGTCCAATGGATTCTAAGAAGAAAACAAAACCCAAACAGCAGCTTGAAATACTAGACACTGTAATATTAATTTGGAAGGGAAGACAAAGTAATCCAAGAACCTCTGTCCAATAGAGAAAAACAAATAAATTGACTTTCAATAGTTAACCATTCCTCTTGGTCTCACATCTGATTCCCAAACTTACCAGGCAGAAACACCAACTAATTAGAAGCCTGGTGCCAACGGGTAGTTAAGTATCACATTATAGCAACAGTATTAATTATTTACTCCCCTAAGTAATATGGTAAGCCAGAAAATATGAATAGAACCACAAATTGACTTAAATGGTGGGAGACCAAGAGGCCTAAGAGGTGGCAATTTATAGTATTTTTCAAGGCATAAATTGCTATCTAATTTAAAAAATAGTAAAACAAGAGTTAGAATAGGACCCTTTTGTCTTCCAAGTACAGCACCTGTTTTTGATAAAGATACATACACACACCCATATGGACTTACTCATTGAATAAACAGGTGAGAAAAAGGGCAAGGTGTCTAGAATGAAGGGAAAAGGGAGACTAATGAAATATAAACATGATTCATGTGGCTCAGCCTTCCATTTTAGATCATCCACATACTTAATGGCCTTGGTGAAAAACAGACTTAAGGCACCTGTACCTTTTTATTGGTTTTGGTTCTACTTAAAGACAGTTATCTAAAAGCCACAAGGGAGGGCGGAAATCCATGAAACTTGCTTTATTACAGGAATGACAGTAGTATATATTAAAATTCACAGATTAAAGCACTATATACCCCAAATCTGTGGCTTTCCAGTTAGGCTCAATTGACTATAATTATTACCTTGCCTGTGCCATTGTTCTTACCATCTAAGTCACTTTCAAAAGTTTCAGCAGACAGCCAGTCAGTAGCCGGGCCTGTGCCATTTACTGTTAGAGCAGCCACTCGAAAATTATATTCAGTCCCCCGATCCAGACCTGAGACCCAAATGACAAAAAAAGACAAGTTGAAACAACAGATTTGGAAAAACAAAATACCAACAATCTCATTAAAGTAAATATCTCATCCACCAACTCAATATGCAGCTACTACCTTGATAAAATTTTAGTTAAAGTTAATACAAAACAAGAAATACATAAGTATAGAACAGAGGAGCTCCCACCTCTAAGGTAGAGGCTGAAGTCCACACAATCCAAGAAGGAAAGAGAAATCAGTAAAGCTCTCAGGAGGTAATAGGGGTTTTTTGTTTGTTTGTTTTTTAAAAGAGCTTGAAGGCATTTTAGAAATCATTTAATGCAATCCCTTCATTTTACTAAGGAAGCTAAGGCCAAAAAAGAGGCCAAGGATGAGTTATAACAAGGAACAAAGTCCATTGGTCTCAGAAGACACCAAAGACCAGAAAAGAATGCAAGATGTGAACTGAAAAATGGCGGAGGTTTAGACGGACGTGTTGGTGCTTTGTCCCGGAGCAGATAAGGGCGAGCAGCTGAAACGGGTAACATACAGCCCGAATAAGCAGAGGAGATTCAGCTGAGAGACAGTCTGCAGCCAGGAAAGACAGAGAACTCCTAGAAAATGGGGACGGTTAGAGATTGAGGCTGAAACCTCCCCTGGGGTGCCGGCTCAGCCGCGAGACCGCGCCATCTTGAGTAGCTGTTATCAGCATCCAGAGATCGGCTACTAACCCGGAGGCAACGGCTCTCAAGCAGCGCGACTACATGAACTCAGAGGAGACCTGCTTCCCCCCACGGAAAGGTTAGACTTCCCCCAAAGGTGCGGTTTGCAATTCAGGTTGGAGCGAGGAACGCATGCGCGCGCGGGGGGGAAATCTGTGCCCCACAAAGTCTGCGGCCGTTGAGGCCAGGGTGACCCGCAAGTGGGGAAGGGCTCCCGCAGGGCTGCTGGCAGAAGGGAACACTATAAATAAGCCCATAGTTGGACTGGATGCAAAGGGGCAGCCTCAGATTTTGCCAGCCGGCCGGCTACTTGGTGCCAGGGGCCAGAGCGCGCGCAGAGACTCCGCGCAGATCTGGAAGGTGGAGCCCTGCGAGTTCGCACAGCTTCCCAGGCTCTTGTTTACACACTTCCTCTTAAATCTGTGAGTTTGATTGTTGAACCCAGTGCATGGGATTGCCCAGTTGGGGTCGCTAGGGGAAGATTGTTTTTGGGGAGCCAGGGAAAGAGCTGGGAGTGGCGACTGGGTTGGGTACAATAGAGAACTCCTGGTCAGAGAGGACTTA